CTGAACTTATGATAATTTGTATCTACTTTGTATTTAGTCCCCTAACCAGCTAGAAGAAAGTTTGAAAAGGAAAGTCAATTCTCACCCAAGGAAGCATACTGAAGATTGGAGCTGGGTCCAGAAAAGGGAAGCTATACAGCTTTACATTTTTACCTTAATCAGGTCTTAAGTGTGGCCTCATTTGGACTGATTTATATTTTGTAAACTGGAGATATTCTGTATTCCAATAAGTACAAAGTATTCTAAAACCAAGTATAAATGGTTTCAGTTGCTCCAGTTTCTTATATTCGGTAAAGTAGGAAAGTAATTAAATATTCATTAATTATATTTACCTAATTTCTTTAGGTAGGTAATTGATAGGATTAGAGAGATGGCTTCATGGCACAGAAATTAACCATTTGGTTAGGATAGGCTATAGAATTACCTAAAAGTGAATTCACTTTTAGGTAACTGCTTGTTTGCTTTTTCCTTCTTTTTGTAGCACATTAATGCAACTCTGGACCTGATTGAGGGCAGTATGACTGTTTGTACTACAAAGAAGACTTTTGATCCATATATTATCATTAGGGCCCGAGATCTAATAAAACTGTTAGCAAGGAGTGTTTCATTTGAACAGGTAAATCTAGAATTACAGAGACTTTTTTTATTTTTTGTTGTATTTGCATCAACGTTAGATAACCTATATCACTGCATCTTTCTCTTCTTCCCTTCCTTCCACCATCAAGTTTTTATGTTTGTGCTTAGATATCATTAGCCTGGGCTTGGAAAATAAATGTAACTGTAAAGAATACTGATAGAGTATTTTTATTTTTCCAAAAGGCAGTACGAATTCTTCAGGATGATATTGCATGTGACATAATTAAAATAGGTTCTTTAGTAAGAAATAAAGAAAGATTTGTAAAAAGAAGACAACGGCTTATTGGTCCCAAAGGATCTACATTGAAGGTACTTTTTATCAGTGGAAAACTTAAGTGTCCTCCTCGATCATTAATTTTTTGGGGTACTGAATTTTAACTTCTTGTATTTTGATATAGGCATTAGAACTCTTAACGAACTGTTACATTATGGTTCAGGGAAACACAGTTTCAGCCATTGGACCTTTTAGTGGCTTAAAAGAGGTGAGAGTAATTTATTACCTTCAATTAATTTTCAGTAGAAAACAAACTAATTTGGTTATAATATAGTTCATTGGATAATATATTTCTTTTTTTTTAAGAATGTGCTTTGTTTGATATCCCATTAGTAAATACTTTGTAGGTCATGTAATTTGAAGGAATGATCACTTCTGGACCTTAATGTATTATTGCCAACTTTTGGCTACTATGGAGACATCCATTTCTGAATTAGGAGGTCTGTGCATTATCACTTCTCCCACTATAAAATTTAAATGGGCATTTAAGATCTATAGTCTGCAGTACATATGAGAAACATGGTATAGTTAGTTAAATGTGCTCAAATGATTGGAAAATTGAGCAGAGATCTAGTTATTTGCAGCAATGTGAATAGCCAGTAGAGGTCAGACTCTAAAAACTTTTCTTCAAGATATATTTATTAATACTTTTGTTTGAATTTTAGTATAATGTTTAATGTTTTCATGAGCACTTTCTTTAAGTTGTCAAATGTTATGAGAAAATCTGTGTCACAGATACTGTTTCTATTAACTCCTTTTGGTG